TTTTTTTTTTTTTAAGGTAGAACCTAGCATTTTATTTAGATCTTCATTAAAGTGTTGGAATTGAGAACCAGACATACTTAATAAACCCCTCAAAACAGGTCCTGAAAGACACTTTCTGCTCAGGGCCAGCAGTCCTGGCGTGAGCATGTGAACACGCTAGTTTCTCTGCTCCACCCCCGCCAAGTCGGACTCTCTGTGGCCAGTTGCCTGCCCCAGCTCTGCCCCCTCCTGTCAACGCCAGCCAGACCCCTGCAGGTCTAACCCAAGGCCGCCCTGTAGGACACTTTGGCCTACCTGGGAATGCTGGAAACATGTTAATGGAATTAATGCGTTGAGGGGGAAAAAAGAAAAATCTTATAAGAAGCTGCCGTCGGAGGTGATGGCTTCTCTATACTTATGCCATACCCCAGAATACAGTACTAATTAAGCAATTAGAAAATGTTCAGGTATGAAGGGATTTCCTCTTCCTTGCCACTCAGCCTTCTAAGACCCTAATTGCATTGATGTGGATCACCTGTGCTCAGTAAAGGCATTATAATGGTGAGTAAATCTTTATGTCAATAGAAAACCTCATCTTTGTCCTGGCGAGAGGCTGGAGGTTTCAAACTGCTGACCTTGTCCTTAGCACCCTAACATGTGGCCCACTTAATAATCACCAAAAGAATCTTCAAGTTTCCTAGACTCTCATCTGCAGTTCATTCCCTGGCTTCTCTTTCTGTGCCCTATTTTACCATGGTGTTCTGCATAGATTGGCTCATGTATCTGTCTATACAGTTAAATAGAACTGTATCTCAGATTGGGCATCAGGTCTTATTTTATGTATTTCTAGTATTTGTGATAGTTGTCATATAGTAAATGCTAGGTAGTGAGTGATGGGTGGGGTTGTTTAAGACTTTGTTCATATTTATTAAGATGAGCATTTTCAATTTTTTTTCCTAGGAAACCTTTTGCTGATTATATTTGTGAGTTACTTTGGAACCAAACTGCATAGACCTATAATGATTGGTGTTGGATGTCTGATCATGGGTTTAGGGTGTTTCTTACAATCTCTACCTCATTTTCTTATGGGGCGGTAAGTAAGTTCGTCTCTGATGAGTCTCTGTGTTCAGTTTCTCTGTAGGAGTGGTGCTTTCTGAAAGCACAGAGGACTGGGGAGGGAAGGGCTGTGGATTCTGCGCCACCACTTGGTTTTATCTTGTGGGCTGTCTGACTTCCACTGACATGACCACATTTTGCCAATTGCTAAAATTGGGATTTGGGCATTTTATGACATTAAGTCTAATGAAAAGATGATTAGACCCTCCTAAAATTTGGGATCCTTTCCTTTTTGGGAACTGTTTAGACACTTCTAATGAAGTTCTTGGTTGGTTTAAATGGCTCAGCATTCACCCACTAGCCCAGAGGTACAGCCATCTCAAAACTTAAACTTCAACAATTAGCCATTGAAAATCTGACAGAGTTGTGGGACATGGGGGCTTCATTGAGGCAGAAGTGGCTCAACAGCATTTAAAACAATTATTTCAAGTAATGAGATTTTGTTTGATTGTAGGATAACAAGAGACGGAGACCAATTTTAAAGTGATTTATTTAAATTTTCATCAAGATAGTATCTGTACTGAATGCATTTGAATGTTCAAAAAACGTACCTGTACTATTTCTTTGACACTATTCCCTCCTCTTACCTCCTCGATTGCCTCTGGTTTCTCTTTCTAGAATGTCCACTGCTGAACTATTGGACATCCTGGCTCAAGTTTTTTCTTATCTGATCTTTGTTCTTTATTTTTCTCTCTCTTTATCTTCTTGTTACTCTGACTTATTCAGCTTTTTCTTCCAAATCTTTTAAGGTCTTTTTAACCTATGCTAGGTTATTTTTGCTTTTCAAGGATTCTGTTGTTCTTTGAATGTTTCCGAAACACTCTCCCTTCGAAGATGCAATGTCTTATTATCTAAATTAGCTTGCGCTATCTTCATCGTCTCTTTTGTAGAATTTTCTTTTCCTTTTGTCTCTGTCTTTAGTGTAGTTGGCTTCCCTCAAATATCTGGGGCTCTTGATTGTTCATCTTTAATATGGGGGAACAACAACAAGGTTGGAACTTACAGGTACATGTGGAGGGCATGGCAAACAGAAGACTTTCATTGTAATCTAGTGTTCAGGTACTAGCGATTATTTGGACAACTGCCCAGTTCCTGTCCATTTTCCTAGGGAGAGAGTCTCCAATTTGTTCTCTGCGGCACACAAGTTCAGTTACTTGATAGATTGTTGTTAGTTGGTGTGGAGAAGGGTCTGATTCATGGAGACTGATGTATCACAGAATGATCTTTATTCTAGGGGGTTCATCTTCCAATACTATCAAGAGATATTTGATTGTTATTCTTAGAGTTTTCACTGTCCAGGTTTGGGAATTGGCTCTCCAGCCCTTCTCCTTATGAAACTCCACTGAAACCTGTTCACCACGGGTGAGCCTCCTCGTCTTTGAAGTTCTCGAAGGCTAGCTTCCAGCTTCATCGGAACATGTATGCGAGCTACTGCAGTATGGTACACACTGACAGATGATTCGGCACACGTGGGCATCTTATTTTTCAGTAGGCATTAGGCTTTCTTTTCAGTTAGTCCTCAAGTGTTTAGTTGAGATGCTTGCAGATCCAGGAACATTTTCAAATGGAATTGAGGACGGTCGTTCTAGGTGTCTAATTGTATTTTATGCATGCTCTAAACTTCCTGCTTCTTGGACGATTCTCATTCCCATTTTCAGAAGCATCGAATGTCTCTAATTTTTAAAAACTTCTGGGAAGACTTATTGTTGCTCTCCGGCAGGGTCTGAGGTTGCGTCTTCTCAGAGTTGTTAACGCAGTGATGGTTCACTCGTGTGCTTTCTAGTTCTCAACATGCTGCTCAGCTCCCTGAGTGTCAAATCGCTTCTTTTCCTTGTCTCTTGGAATAAGTTATTTGGTTTTGTTAAGTAAGTCAGATGAACGCAAACGCTCTTCTCAGGGATTCCTGAGGGTGCAGAAGTTTCCAGGAAAATAACTTGTGTTGCTGTTGGTCGCTGCTGTCCGGTGACCTGATGCACACAAGAAGGAACCATTGTTCGACTCTGTGCCATCTCTGCGGTCGTTGATATGTCAGAGCCCATTGTGCAGGCTAGTGTGCCAATTCATTTATTGAGAGTGCCTTGTTTTCAGAACCGAACCTGATGCTCTTTTCTAGGGGCCGGCCTTTCCTGACGATGTATCCAAAATAAACCAGATGACCCGCACTGCCTTTACTTCTGAGGAACGTTTTAGTTGTATTTCTTGCCTGTCCTAGCCAACTCCACGTCAAGCAACATTCAGCAGTCATGTACATTTCTTCCTTCCCTCGGTCAAAGTTGAAGTTTGGTTTTGTTTGAAGCTGGCTTATCTTAGGGGTGTGGAGGCGGAAACGTTTGTCAATTTACAGTCCCAGATTGGGTATGATGCATCGTCGATCTAAAGCAATTCTGGTCTTTTAAAAAAGTGTCCCATAGCACAGAAATTAGGAGGCCTGGTGACAGCTACGCAGAACAGTCTTTAGCACATTTGAACCCCTGTTTTCGTTTGTCTTTCTCTTATTTAACAAAATATCGAAAGCAATTTAGCATAATTTTTTTCAAAGAGAGACTTACCTGGACATGTTTTATTCTCTTATTGCAGTGTATAGTTTACTTTCTGCATTTAGGACATGCACCTCTCGTGGCAGTTTGCCTACATAAAATGGTCACAATCTCTTATCATTTTGTTCTTATGAGGAAAGAAAACACGACCACATGGAGCTGTCAGGATATTTGGGATACTCCCAAGGACTCTCATAATGATGGGCAAATATTTTATTTGCTTTAGTAGTCAAGGAATACATCAAGGAATTATTGATTGGATTATCAGAGATTGGTATATTCCCCCCCACCCCAGTTTTTATAGCTTTTATTGTTCTTATAAAAGAGTCCATTTTGAGGGGGATGAATGCATGTTTTATTTTAAAGTGCCAAAACTCACACAATTCCCATTAACTTCACATGAGAATTATGGTGAGCAGAAAAATGAATCAACTAAAACATTCAAAGTTACTTCAAAACCTGAAATATTCATAGTTACTGAAACAGAGCAAGAGTTTTTCTAATAAATAAACTACTCACCCACTGCCATCATTGCGACCCTGTCTTGGGTTTTCAAGGCTTTGTAAATCTTTACGGGAGCAGAAAGCCTCATCTTTCTCCCAATGAGCAGCTAGTGGGTTTGAACCAACAACCGTATGGTTAGCAGCCCAATGCTTCCTGAAAGCGCTAGCAAATAGTTGCACTAAAAGCTATGCAGATATATATATATATTCATCTTCTGGTTCTTAATGATTTAACTGATCGTTTGTTCCAAATATAATTCAGTGGAAACAATACCTGAGAGTGTGTGGTAAAAATGTGTTTTAAGAAAAACCCTAGTCACACTTCACTTCCTCATTTTCTAATCCACTGTCTATATTTTCCTTGGGTTCTTTGGTTTTCTTTTCTTTCCACAAATTTCCAAGGACAATCCCTAAAAATAGCGTCAGTCCTATTGTTCGGTTGGAGGCAAATTTGTCCCAGCAATCCTCAGGTCTGTGGATGTCCAGGGTGTAAATCTGGTGAGTCAGATGGGCTCCTATGGCAGCCAGAGTAGCGTAGTAGGGCAGCGTCTGGTCGCAGTTCACGCCCACCAGACCCAGAGCCCTCAGCATGGCCAGACCGAAGCCACTGAGCCACTGCTTGGTGTTGTCGCGGGACCTCAGCACTGTTGACTTGAGACTGAGGAGCACATCGTCTCTTTTATCCTGATGGACATAGATGGTTTCATAGATCAGTGTCCACATAAAACGTGTAGACTTGTTTTGCTATGTTTTTCTTTTTCTCCCAGAGCCTTTATCTTCTTATTTATACCTTGTTGAGTCTATTATTTTTCTGTTGTTCCTTATCCCACACAAATTATTTCCAGGAAATGATTACCTAAAAATCACAGAAAGATAATGCTAGGTAATCTAAAAGGTTATCACATGCAAATAAGCAAAAGCTTATTGTCTAGGTACTGTGTATTTACATTGCATGGTAAGGTCTTTTGCGTATAATTTATGATAGCTTCATAAGTGGATTTGGATGTTGTGCTTTATGTGAACAGGACTAAAAGATCTGAACAATACTCCCCTTGTCCTTAGTAGCTCTTTAATATAATTAACATGTTTTCTCTATGTTCAAACAGATATGAATATGAATCTACAGTTTCAGTTTCAGGCAATTTGTCTTCTAACAGCTTCTTGTGTGTAGAAAATGGAACCCAGAATTTCAGACCAACAGAAGATCCATCAGGTCATATACTTCATTTTTGTTTTCTTTTTGGTTCAATATATTTGTAACTGAACATTTTCTGTGTATGGGGCTTTGAGCGAGTTCTTTTTTTTAAAAATGGGTAAGGTAAATGATCAAAGCACATTTTCTCTTTCTAGGGATTTTGATGGGAATTGAGAGTGCATAGGAATATTAATTTTTGTCTCTTTGCATGCATTAATTAAGACTGCCTTATATATTCCATAAACTGATAATGGGACTCTAAATCAAAGTAATCTATTCAAGGGCCATGGCAGAGTCAATTCTACAAGAAAGGAAGGGTGTTGACTTGGAAGGACAGATGTATGTCCATGATTTAGCCCTAACTATCATGCAAATAGGAAACAGAGATAGAAACAGCTAAGAATATTTGCGGTATATAACTCTTCTTCAATAGCAAGGAAAGTGTACACATATGGTACTTTATTCTATTTTCTTTCCACTCAGTTGGACTTATTCTAGATTCTTTTTCCCCCATTCCTCTGCTCTACCAGCAACACGACTTTACAGTTTAAAGCAAGTGTGCTACTTCCTGTCAATCTGGTCACCTCTGTCCTTTGAACGTGCTCAGACACCTATTTAATCTCCCAGTAAAAGGCAGTCTAGAGTTGGTCCCACTAGCTCACTTGGACCAGACCTTCCCTCCATCTGATGGGGACATTGTGCCAGACTCAGGATGAGTGGAAATGACCCTAGACAGTTAGGTTGGGAATTTTACTGGCAGCAAGGAGCCCAAGAATGGCTGTCTCAGACAGTTTGGACCCAAAGCACCATCTGCAAAAATCAAGGAGAGCTGGGAGCCTGTTTCTTCCTGTATGTGTCTTCTTCTTTTTAAAAAAATCATTTTATTGGGGGCTTGTACAACTCTTATCACAATCCATACAGTATGTGTCTTCTTGAGCTGGCTTTTGGCAAGGAACGACCCTGGTGCTGCTTTGGGCTAGAATCCATCAATGCAACACTTCACAGTTTGGTGTATCACTAGGAAAATGCATCAGTTCTTTGCTTATCTGATATTTTAAGTTTCTCCCTAGAATAGGCTTAGAATTTACCTATGATATTTAGACTCAAATCACCATGCTCACCATAAATAATTTCTATATACCTAGAAGTAGAGACTGTGATTCTGTTTGGACTGGGAATGCGACAGTTAGACTGTCCAAGAAGTTCCTGGAGCTAGTTTTGCTCCGCATTCTCTCATCTGTGGGTGGTGCCCAGCCAGTTTATAGGAGGTGAAAATGTTATTATTCACTTCCCTCAAAAACATAACTTCTTCCCAACATGATCGCTGAAGACCGATGTGTGCATAAGCAAATGTGGTGAAGAAAGCTGATGGTGCCGGGCTATTAAAAGATATAGCATCTGGGGTCTTAAAGGCTTGTAGGCAAACAAGTAGCCATCTAGCT